CCAGGAGTTTGCAGGTGAAGACGACAGGGAGAGAGCGCAGCCTGGCAAAGCAGCACCGGAGACCTGGATTCGATTGCTGATGGCCCCTGGAAGACATCCGGCAAATTGCTTCACCTCCCCGAGCCTCACTTTCCCCATCTGTGAAAAAGGAGAGCTCTTCCTTCCTTTGTAGAGTGATTTGAGACCCGGTGGTGAAAAGTGCGAGGGATTTCCAGGAACGTCAGGATGGAAGAGGGCTTCTGCATTATCCAACCCAGTACCCTCCTATGCATTAGGATGGCAGCACTTTGGGCTCCTATTCAGGCCAGGCCACTGCTAGAAGCTACACATATGGAACTAGAGATGGTCCTTGCCCTAAAGAACAAAACTTTTGGAGGACATTCTGGGCTCTGCTGATTTCTCCCCACCCCTATTTTTTTTTGTTATATGTGTCAGGGTGTTTTTAAGCCTCCCCAGAGGCGCTGGGTGTTGACTACAGTTAGGTCTGGGGACTCTGGGTTGTGCCAATGCTCCTGCTAGGAGCAAAGCTGGAGGCTCCTGGCTAAAACAACCTTGCTCAGGGTCAAACCAATGCCACATTTGCGGTCAGGAAGGACTTTTACCCCATGATCAGACTGGTACAGACTGGGGAGAAGGGGAGGCTTGCTTTCCTCTGTAGTGAGGGGCATAGCTTGAGCACATATTGACACTGTATAAAAGCAAGGCGTTGGCTGCTGCGGCTCCCCTGCTTTACCTACGGCAGGTTTGGGCGACAGGTCTATGTCATGTCAGGGTTGATGCTTGTTTTACGAAGAGTTTAGATGATGGATTTGTCTGGGATGCTTTGGATAGGGCTGATCCTGCCTCTGGCAGGGGTTGCACTAGATGACCCCTGCAGATCCCTTCCAGCCCTCTTCTATGACTCTACAAGGATGAAGGAGAAGCCCTGAGCTTATCTGCAAGGAGCCCGGGAAACACAAGTCTCCACCAGGCTCAGCAGCTGCATGAAGGCAATGCCTCCCACCTGGGCCCGCGTTGCCCGAAGCACTTCCTCACATCGAAGCATCCCGCTGAGCTCTAACCGGTTTTACTTTGACATGGCCTATCCAACCTCAGAAACCTAAAGAAGTTTAAACCCTAGCTTGGTTTATCCACGCATGCATGTGCTTTGCAGAGAGACCAAGGCAGAAAGAGGACCAGCCACTTGCCCGGGTTTTTTCCAGCCAGATTTTGAAATGCCAGAGCCAGCTTTCCTCTTTGGAGAAATGTCGTGGGATCTCTCACCTCCGTGCCAAACAAGCAGGACTCATAGATGTTGGTGGCAGAAGCTGGAAGGGACCTTACAAGATCATCGGGTCCAGGCTCCAGACTCATTCAAAGCTCTCCAGAAACCCTCCGACACTAGACTAACCCATACCCAGCTGAGCAAAATGAAGAGCCAACTCTGCCTCACAGTTCAAACCTGAGACGTAGCTTCTCCCAGCTGCCCCTTCCAGTGGACATCTCAACCAGCAGCAGGTGGGCAAGGAGCACAATGAGGGGCCAACATAAGGCTGGACCCCGCTGTGAGCTCACGAGGCCTTGTCTTCCTCCATGGCACACGGGGATTGCACCCGTCTGCATCAAGGAAACACCTCCAGGCTGGAGAGAGGATCCACAGGGTTGCAGAAGGGGAGGAAAAATACAGCAAGTTGCATACAAGTCCCGCTTCAAAACTCCCCAGCCAGTTAGTTCCCTCTCTGCCCAGAGCTGGCCATTTCCCTTTGGAAAACAGCAATTTCATTTTTCTTCCTGGCCGGGATTTTTGGTTTCTTCCCGTAAGCCGAGTGCAAGCCAGCGTGGCAAGAGGCTCTTTGCTCACAGCTTGGTTTGTCAAACATGCCACGGCCTCTCCCTACCCACCGTCTGGGAACAGGCTTGCGGGCTGCTCTATAAGGAAGGGGAATTTCAAAACTGGGCTTTTTCCCTTCCTTCTCCCTTATTTTTCCCCCACCAGCAAGTCTAAAAGCACAGCCGAGCGGATCGAAACTCCCCAGCTCCCTACACAGCTCCAAACACAACTGCCCTGCGTGTCGCTGCAGGAGAATCAGAAAGCAAAGTGGTTTCCCTGTCCAAGGTGAGCACTCAACATTTTCAACGCCCCCCGTTTCCCCATTTCTAATACCGATGCACTTGCCTCTTGTGCACAGTGCCTCGAGACGCAGGGTTGAAAAGCATGACAGCGGTGCTAGGGCTGGATACTAAAACTGCTCCTCCATCGGCCCTTTATTTGATTTGGAGTCTGATGCAGATGCAACCATTCAGTTATCAGTAACTCAAGAGAGGGGACCGCTGAACGTGTCCGGGCTCCTGCCGTTTGTGTTATAATGCTCCATCTATAACCACATTCAGCGGCTTTAAAATCTCCCTTGATTGAATGATCCTAATAGACTCACTGGGATCTCGTGTTTGAGAGACAGAGAAAGTCACTGGAGTGTGCCGAACCCTTCATACCAGTGCATTTTTTAAGAGCATTCACTGTATAGTGAGCACGCAGTTATCTCCGTCTACGTCCCTCACTCCCAGGACTGTAGGATCTGAGCTGCTTCGTGGGCATCGCTCTCCCCTACTCCATCTCAACAGGAAAGAACAACACCATGTGCATGTTCCCGATGGGGAAACTGAGGCACACAGCTTCAGCGATGTGCCTAAGACGACACAGACACTATATAGCCGAATTAACAGGGATCACTGGCTCCCCGGCCCGATGCCTTCCCTGCTGGAGCCTCCATTCCCACGGACATGGGCGCAGCTACCCACATCCCACATCAGACCTATGCCCGGGGATGCGTTGCAGACAGTGGGAACATTTCCTTGGTATTAGCTTTTATCGAAAGCCAAATGCACACAGAGGAGCCAAACAGCAGCACAAACAGAGCTGCATCCTCTACTCCAACCTGGAAACCTTGATCTGGATTTGCCAAAAATATTCAAGCGTCTTAACCTATAATTTCTTTCTCATTGTTACTTGCCGTAGCCAGCCCTTATCTCCATCTTTGTGCCTTGCTTTTAACAGCCTTTGTTTACTGCCGCAAGATAAGGAGGCGATTTAGCAACACAAGATCCTCCAGGCTTCTGAATGAGCGCAGGCTTTTGTCAGCGCCTGGGCTCCTTTAGGGAGGAGAGGAAGAACAAGTGGATTAAATGATGTCTAGGACCAGGTGCTGCCTGCAGTTACATCAGCATAAACCCAGGGCAAAAGATGTGGAATTATATACGGGAGCTTTAGGATTTGGTGCCCAGGATTTGTATCACTGCACACCAACTTCACTCCACCCTAAAAGCCGATGCAAAACGATGCCTTGCCTCCATCCCAGGCCTGCAGGGTAAAGCCGGGGAGAAAGGGTGCGACCGCTGGGATTTCGACACGCCGAGCAGGGAAGAGGCAGCACAGACAGGGCCTATGTGACCAGACTTGTTTCAGCAGCAACCCAGAAGACCCAGCCAGCTGCCTGGACTTGAGCATGGGAAGAAAGCACGCAGGTAGAAAACAAGAGCAAACTGCTCTGTTCAAGTCAGCAGCACCGTCTTCACCGGCATTTCACAGAGCATCACTCCGCTCGTCCCCAGATACGACAGAGACAGATGGACTGCAGCCCACATCCTCTGCTCTGGCTCCACTCCTGACAAAGGGGGATTTTTTAACCTAAAAATCAGAGCTTACCGTTGATGACCTTGTGCAGCGTGAGTCTGGCTATGCTGGCTGGATGCCTGCTGGTAATTTCCCTTTACTCTCCCTCCCTGAAGGTCCCCCCTTCTCAGAAAGATGAGAGAGAGAACAACAGTGGCTTAACGAAGTACTTAATTCCTCAAAGCTCAGAGCAGCCAGGCTTTGTGCTTAGGCATGTTCCCTGGTGACCTCAGGGGCAGGTAAGGCGTGGTGTTTGGTACCCTCGCCCCTCCAGACCCTGGTTAGAAGTCACGCAGCCCGCTGTTTTCTATGTGCAGCATCCAAAAGTCTGGCAATAAGGAATTCACTGTACATATGCAAGGCTAGTTTCTATGTACAGCATCCAAGAGTCCGGCAATAATGAATTCATTGATTCTCACCAGATCCCTGCAAGACGGGGAGTCGCTATAAGCCCATGCAGGGACGCAACCGCTGAAGTGACTTGCTCAAGGTGTCTGTAGTCTCATCTAATGCCCTGCCCACTGCAACCTCACTCCATCCTAGCATGCTTGGCAATGCCAGGGGCACAGATGGACCTGCTGCCACTCTCGCAAGCAACCACATCTCATCATCGGTTCCTTAAGTTAATCTATTTTAGAGCCACGTAGGGTTTTTTGCTCCCATTCTTGCCACTGAAAGGCAGGTCCAGAACCTCACCTCTCTCAAAATGTCCACCTTAACTTCCCGTGTGATTCATTTATGCTCTTGCATCCTGGTACCAACACTGGCCTTTAATTTAAGCATCCCATTTTCCTCCGTGCAGTCCATTCCCCCGCTACAGGTACGGAGAGCAATCATATCTCCTTTGCCTTTGCTCTGCTAGATGACACAAACTAAGCTCTTCTCATGGGACAAGCTTCCCATTGCACAGATCATCTTACCACCCCTTCCTATAACCGGTCCAGCTGGAATTCATCTTTCTTGAACATGGATAACCAAGTAAAAAGTATTGCAGGTGAAGTCTCAGATGGGTGCTTTGTTGAATGGCATTAATCTCTACGAATTCATGGGGGGAAATGCATATCACCACTCTCTGCTATAACCACAGACTCCCACAACAACACCCCACCTCCAGGGAAGTCAGTGGAAAAGGCCTTTTTGGTTTCATTTGGAGCTGGGGAAGGCCTTCAAAATCCTTCCATCACTCTGTACTTTTGGAAAGAAAGTGTTTTCCCATACACAGTGAAGCTACACTTTTTTAGGCAACCCCTAAGGAGAGCCCTTTTGCCACCTCCGGCACATTCATGTACTTATTATGACCATCACTATCAGATCAGTTCTTCAGGAGCAGGACTGTCTTGGGTCTCCTTACCTGCACGCTGAACGCGGTCTCATCCAGAGGCGGTGGAGGAGGGAAAGAACCAGCCGATGGAGGGAAGTTGCCAAGATCATCCATAGGAGGTGGCGGTGGCGGCAGGAAGTCCCCTGCAACAGAGAAATCAACAGATTATAAAGGGCAAAATGAAATGGAGGCGTGAAGCTTCTCTGCTTCATTCAACTCATCCTCATATAGTGTTTCTCAATGTCTGGGTTCGCCATGCATATCCTGCTTGCACTCTAAACAGTGCTAGCATTGCACAGCACCCTGGAAAGGATCTGAAGGCACCCCAGGGTGAGAGGATCACTAACAGCTTGAACAGCCCCACCACCCATGGGTGCAGTGCACAAGAGCAAGCAGGATGCAATGTGCAGGCCGGAAGGACTGGGGCTCATGGCCGGAGAAGGGACCGGGGGGAGTCTGAACGCATGAACTGTATCCCCACTGCCACTGACTCAGTGCACAACCTTGGGTGAGTCACTGAACTGTGAGTCCTCTGCTAGGTTCATACTCACTCCCTTCAAAGCAGGAGGGGAGAGAGCTACCAGCACTACTTCATTCCTGGAAGTCATTTGGAGTCCCTGCAAGAACAGGGCTATAGAAATGCAAGCTCTAGGCATCATTACCGTCACGCACAATGAAGGAGCATGGGCAAAGGAGCGAGCAATTTGAAAAGCAGAGGCAGCTTTTACTTTAGACCTGCTTCAGAGAGTAAAAGCACTCATGGCAATGAGCAGTCTAGGTCCAGGGCTGCGCAAAGCATCATGAAGAGGGTCCTGAACGATGCCTGAAGGCAGGACCGGCCGACTGGAAGCTCACGGTCCTTGGGCCGTGGATTCGTATGGGCACAGTTTGTTTAAGCCCTTGTAGGTACCATGGACAACCCAACCAGCACCCCAAAAAAACAAGGCATGGCATGTCACTTTGCAGCACGCCGGGGATGGCAGACAGCTACCAGGATCCAAAAGGCACAGAGGAGGGGAAATACCCATCTGTTCAGAGGGGTCTGGAAAGCAGGCCAAACATCTGTAAGATCTCTGCAGTGGATCTGGCATCTGTTGTCCGCTTCCCATTCTGCAAATCTGCCTTCCAGTAAGAGGGGAAGCAATCTATTCTGAGCCCCGGCGAAGGGAGAGTCCAGCAGTGTCAAACTTTGTCACGTGGCGGCCGAGCCAGCGGTGTCCAGATACGAAGAAACGCCAGGCTACAAATGCCAGGCTCCCTATTCCTACTGCAGCAATGACGTGCTGGGAGCTGTCTTCACTCACAAGGAAGGAGGAGGCTGCTGGGAGACTTTTCTCTTTGACGATGAAGCTTGAGGGAGCCCTGTGCCACCTCCTCCATATCCCTCTTGCAGCAAGCTCACCCCTGAAAGGCCACCGCAACAGGAGAAGGCTGATATTGCTGCCCCTAAGCAAAACCCACTGAACAAACCACGATTCACAGTAAAAGCTGTCTTTAAATCGGCATGAAATAAGGAGCTTGGAGGATTGATCGATTTTCTTTAATTTTCTCTCCCATTTCCCACCCCCCATCCTCCCAGAGAGGTGGTCTAGGAAAAGGCTTCCTCGTGCTCTGTACAATTGGGCTTTCGAGCCATTGCAGAAAGCAAGGCCACTCACTTAGCTTGGAGAGAAACTCTCCCAGAGTCCCGTAGGCGACACGTGCAGAGGCAGAGCCAGGTACAGCAGTCCACCCCCTAGCAAAAATGGCAAAACAGGTTTGCTGTGGAGAAACATCAGCACCAAATCTGACTGCCTGCGGGGCAGCAGGCGTGGGGGGCAGTTTTCTGCAATTCTGGCAGATTTAGGATCTTTTTCTTCTCCCCCTATTAAGCTCTGTGCTGCCGGCATTACTAAATCCCGAAGCACCTTGTTTGTGAAGGTGTAAAACTACAACAAGGTATTGATATTTTAAACAAGACGGCCCAAGCTACTGTTCCCCTCCATGTGGTGCTGTAACAGGCAACCGTCCACGTCTCAGTGCAGAGCCCGGCAGCTCTTCTGTTAGCCTCTTTTGCGCTAATCCACCTTGCCCAGGGGCTCAAGAGGCTTTAGGGGGGAAGAGGCTGGCATCAAAACCGGCCAGCTCACTTCGGAGCGTCAGCAGTGATGTTTTCATATCCCAAAGGAACAAGCCAGGACCCACTTTTCCAGGGCAGACAGGATGAGACCACATCACCCATGAGAGGCAGCATGGATGCAGGGCCCCATTGTGCGAGATGTCAAACGATGCAAGCGCTCGGAGCTGTGGCCAGATGCAGGGTCAGCCCGATTCGGCAGCCGGCCCCTTTGATCTGGTATCCTGAGTGCGCAGGGTTTCCCCCTAAAGTTGCGAAGCCTGCGTATATGCAATAATGCTGTATAGGCATGAATAACCACGTGCAGGAATCAGCCCTTTTATAACGAAAGCTGCACAGAGACATTGACAGCCACGCTTGGATCTGGACTTCTTACCCGGAGCCACGCTGTTAGGGGGCATAATAAAGCAATGGAAACCGAGCACTGTTTCAGTGCAAAACCCTCAACCTTTGGGCTCTCTGCAAAAGCCAAAAGGGACGGGACGTTTCAACAGTGTAAAAACTTCTTCTTTTTTTTTTTTTTTTCCTTCCACCTCTCTCAAACAGCGTTTCAATTGGAAAGAAAAATCAACCTGATTTCACACAGCACTTGAATTTCCACAGAACCGCCCTGCTTGGGTGCACGATGGACGCGCTGAAGTTTCTCTGAAACTTCCAGTGAAATTGCAAAAAGTCAGATGTGACTGCGGGAACCCCACGCGCCACCGCGTGTCATGACAGCCTGTGCACGGGAGCGATTCCTGCAGCCCCAGAGCGAAGGGGAGTTACGTGCTAAAGCAGAAGTGAGACAAGGCAGGATGGAGGCCGTCAGGCCACTGAAGTAAACACAGTCCTGCAGCTTTGCACATTCAGAACGTTATTCCTCCCGAGAGTTTACAAAAGCAGATCCAATTTCTTAAAAAACCAGACGAGGCATGTTGGACGGCGCTTGGGGGAAAGCGCGTTTCTTCGTATCTGGACACTGCTGGCTCGGCCGCCACGTGACAAAGTTTGACACTGCTGGACTCTCCCTTCGCCGGGGCTCAGAATAGATTGCTTCCCCTCTTACTGGAAGGCAGATTTGCAGAATGGGAAGCGGACAACAGATGCCAGATCCACTGCAGAGATCTTACAGATGTTTGGCCTGCTTTCCAGACCCCTCTGAACAGATGGGTCTTTCTCCTCCACAGCTGCAGGTCTTTATTCTACCCCGGTGTTTTCTTTTCTTTTCCCGCACACATGCACACAGGCCCCAACATGTCCCCACTCGAGGAACAGGCAGAAGCCCCCTTTATTTCCCAGAGAAGAAGGCATGTATTCAGTTCAAAGGGTGGAAAGGCCAAGAGGTCTAAAGACACAAATTGAAAATAGCCCCTGGCCCGAGCAGCTCCCAGCTTGAGCCGAAGTGGAAAAACCAGGGCATTTAATTTGGCCTCAGGTGAAGGATGGGATGCAACGATAGTTAAACATTAAAAGAAAGCACATGCTGCATGGGAATGGCACCTGCAACTAAGCAGCAATGTCAGGGCATTAATTAATCACCCGGTGGGGTAGGCAAGTGGCAGTAGCCTGGTTTCAGTCAGAGAAAGGCAGGGTTGGCAGGGAAGGGGGGAAGCTAGGACTCTTCAACCTCCCATCCCTCACCCCATAACAGGCAGAAGACAGACCCTGCTCTGGCTGTCGACAGCCTCATCTGTCCTGTGCAGACCCGCAGCACCCACCCCTGCGCTTCGGATGCAGGCCCTGGGACCCTCTTTGCCGGGTCCTTTGGGCACAAAGCCCAAGGCAGCGAGTGCAGCTCTTCGAGGCGATGCTACTCCAGAACAAGGAGCAATGGGCTCGAGCTGCAGCAAGGCAGGTTTAGGTTGGATACGAGGGACATAATTCTCACGCGGAGGGTGGTGAAGCACTGGGACAGGCTCCCCAAAGAGGTGGTGGGATCTCCATCCTTGGAGGTTTTTAAGGCCCAGCTAGACAAAGCCTTGGCTGGGATGATGCAGTTGGGGCTGGTCCTGCTTGGAGCAGGAGGTTGGACTAGATGTGACCTCCTGAGGTCCCTTCAACCCTCATTTTTAATGATTCTATGAAATAATTGCATCTAGGTGGAAACCGCTGCTCTTCCTGGGCACTCCCACCCCATGCTGGTCCATGGCGCTAAACCATCATGGACAAGAGATCAGCCAGGCCAAGCATTTGCTGCTTGCAGACATTTGCAGCCTCCTCCCAAGTCCTAACCCAGGTCAAGGAGAACGTATTAGCACAAGGACAGTGTCTGGGTGGACATGCCCAGGTCTGTCTGGATCTGTCATGGAGCAGGACCTGCCCAAGGACCCAGCACCCAAGCTTCGAACCCACGCGCACTGGCAGCACGGTCTTCCCGAGCCTGGGGGCACTCAGTTGCTCCAGGCACGCAGGGTACCGGGGGAGCTGTGACAAGTGACCCCAGCTAGGGCCCATCACAGCAAATTGAAGGCTTGATGTGTCCACTACAATCATCTACTACGACTTCTCGAGTGGCCTGGACCGAGAGTTTGGTCCAGGACTCGTGACCATGTGCTCCAGCTGGAATGGTTGGCATCCCCCCCTCTGATTCCTGATACTTTAGAGGGGTTTTTTGGGGTTGTTGGGGTTTTTTTTGTACTTCCTCTTGTTGTAGAGGCTGGAGTACCAGAAGCTGCAGTCTCAGCCTTTCCACGGCCTCTCTGGTTGTAAAAAAAAGTCACTCTTTTCTGGGCCTCCTGGTTTCCATATCTGGCTAAGACTCTCTCAGTGCTCACGCTGCCCATCTGATCCCAGCCCAAGCCGTCTCCCCAGCCCTGGCAGGACCTTTCCGGGCCCGGTCCTACATGTTTGTAACCATTGTTCCCCGCAAACCCGAAAAGATAAAAGCAAATGAGCCCAGACACGACTGGCTGGGGGCCTCTGGAGAAGTGGATCGGACCAGGCCTCCCTTCTCTCCAGTGGAGGTGACTACCCTCACCAAGTCAGCTCGTCCCTTCTCCCAACTTTGATCGGAGGACAAGTCAGCCCAGAACCCGGCCGTCCTCT